TTTCATTCTGCTCACGTATTTTAGTTTAGTCACGCGGATCGTTCTTATTACGCCTTTAAATGCTGACACGCGTCAGTTTGAACGTGTGTCCGCTCAGCGTGTTGATCAGTAAAAATCAGCCATCAAGTCCACTCACCATGCGTCTGATTTTCTGAGGGGTGCTCTGAAAAGAACTGTGGATTCGTTTTGTTTTCCAGTTGTTCCTTCACGTGTTTCGGGACGCACAATTGCTCCTTTTAGAGGATTTGAGTGTTTGACATTCCAGAGGTGTTGTTCTCCTTGCACGCCCTGGTGATTATCATATTTTGCCTGGGGAGCCTCTTTACCCAGTGAACCATATTTAGCTGTCAGAACAACACTAGTGGAGTCCCGGCCGTGTGCTAACAGCAGCCCATCCAGAGGCTAGACGTTTCTGCTGCTCGTTAAAGAAAACAGTACAGTTCTAACCAACCTGCACAGTAAGGACACCCGTTTTATGGAAGTTTAGTCGTGATATTTGATGTGCCTACAGCTCAGATTTGCATCATGAGAACACGTTTTTGGTGCTCCAGGTTTTCACACATGAATGAGGACGTTGAATGTAGTGAGCTTGTCATCACAAGGTCATTACTCACTTTCCTCTGACGACCCGCTGTTTAAATGAACCACGGGGTAAATGTTCAAGGCTGAGTACTTGAGTCGCATCAAGTTTTTTTTGCACACGTGCACTCGAACCGCCCAGATGGCATCACAGACGTCTGCCTAACTGTTAAAGATCCAGCCTTTGGTTGTCAAATGCTTTGACGCCATCTGACTCACTCCATCCTCTTCCTCGGTTTCTCTCCGTCCGTCGCCGTCTTCGCGTTACTGTGAAAAATGATCTCTTGCGCGACCGCTCGACATCCTCCGCCGCGCATGCACACCTCTTCCAAGTTACCAGACAGACCGGCTGCAACCACAGATGGGAAAGATGGGGGCATTAGCCTGCGAGAGCGTCACAGAACTTCGCCTCCACACTTAACTCAATCTGCGCCCAAGTAGCGCCAGCAAGGCCAGGCACGACGCCAGATCCACCCTCAAAACTGTGATTGTCACACCGCAACACCAGCAGCACAGAAACACAGTCCTTCATTGTGACAGTTTTAGACGTTTTCACCACCCGTCAGTTCACCGTGCCCCGCCGTGTCACTGGGCCGATGTGGGCTTTTAGAGTAACATCATTACATGTCCTGTAACTGCCTTAGCCTTTGGGCTGAAACACACACATCTGTGTTAACCACCTGCCTTTGTCACCAAGGGGCAGACTTGCTAACCTTTCTCACAGCTGAGCTGGCTCGCCCTAAAGGTCTGAAAGACTATAGATTACACACCGAGCAGGCAGCTACAAAGGACAGAGAGATTATGTGGAGAATGGTATCCAGCGGCAGCCCAGAAATGCCACACACACACACACACCCTGCCCCAAATGCATATCTTTGTGTGAGAACATCATCAACAGGGCAGTAACATGTCAACATGGATACACCTCATCCTTTTTAAAGGGCACTGCTTACACAGCAAATCCTCCAAACATTAGGCATAAGGAGAACTGTTATGTGTGGTCACCGTTCACGTTGCAAACGTTTGCAAGGTAAGAAGTTAGCGTTTTTACCGTTGTGAGTAAATTCACGACAGCTTGCCGTGACTGAACTTCATTACAACACGGAGACTTATTCGTGGCGAGAAAGATGACTTTACTCCAACGGGTGAGGACGATTCAGTGAGAAGCTAGAGCAGACCTCAGGCTGGTAATAGCACATCCATAAATTACCACACGACAAGGGCACTCTCTAAGGAGCCCCAGATGCAGGGTTCTGCTAAAATTACACCTCGTTTATCAAATCCTTTATTTCCAAACTGTCGCCTTTCCACGGGAATCCTGTTACCGGTCGCTGTGAGTCCTCCTCTTAGGAAATTTTCCAGGGAGCTCTCAATCTGGCCAGCTCATGTCAGTACAGTACATTTGGCTTTCCGTTCCGTCACAGTTACAGTAAACAGTGGCTTTTAACGAGCTCCGGTACATTCAAGGGTTACTGAACATGCATTTAAGGGAAGCATTTACATATTATTTCAAAGCCAGCTGGTCCTCAGGGTTGGTCACGATTCAAAGTAATAAAAACCACAGAAACTACATGATCATGTTTTAAAGAGACACTATGCAACATTTTCATATTTTTAAACCATTTTCTTGAGCCAGTTTGTGTTAAAATGATCCTCCCAGCACATTTCCTGCATGTTTTAGATCATGAACACAGCGGATTGGTTGAATTTAGTGTCCTGTAGACACTGAGAAAGGCTGGGGAGACATTTCAGCTGTTGGATTAAGGGGTTAAAAAGACAAACTCAAAGCGAGGAGTTTTGCTTTTGGTTCTACAAACTGACACTAGGGGGTGCTAAAAGTAAGCCAAAACTGCCTAGTTCCCCTTTAAATCAAAAACGTGGGTCTGATCCTGTCAGACCAAAAAAAGCGTTAAGTTATGGTTGTGCATAATCTTCCTGATTTGATGTTCATCAATAATGTAATTATGATGACTGATCTGCAGCTGGCAGAGTGTAAATAGGCATGCCCCTGCCATCCTGCAAACGCAAGTACTGTTGGTCCCCAGCCCCCTCCTGTTTGTCCTCTGCATTCTCCTCACGTGTCTCCTGGTGTTTCCCAGCTTCTCAGGTCTCCCCCAGTCACCCCTCTGTAGTTTTATTTTCTATAGGTTCAGCTTTTCATTTTATTAGTTCCCTTTAGTGTTTGTGTCCTTCCCCACTTGTTAATTAGTCTCCCTTACTCCTCTTGTCATTATTAGTTTCTAGGTTTAGTTATTTAGTGTTTTTATAGGTTATGTTATCCTCCCCTGTGCTTGGTTTTCCCTTCCCATTTAGTTAATTGATTTCACCTGTCCTCCCTCTAGGCCTCACTCCTCACACCTGTCACCTGTTTCCCTGATGGCTTCCCTCTGTGTTAAAAGCCTGTCTTGTCCTTCAGTCTTTGCTGGGTCATTGTCGTATGTGTTGCGTTGTTCGTTCCCCTCTCGAGTCTCTCCGAGTCCATGCTCGTGTGTGAGCTTTGTTAATTTTGAGTTTTCAAGTTTTTGAGTGTTGGGCTTATTTTGTGCTTTGAACGTTTCAGCTCATCCTCCTGAAATAAAGGAATTGTTTTTTCTTAAAACCTCTCCTGCCTTTGAGTCGTTCTGGGTACTTCTGCATCCTGGGTCCAACCTCCTCTCCTAAACGTGACAAGTACTGATTGGGAAAAGAGGACTGCCGCAGGCGGTGTTGCTGCAGAATCTATAGTTCACCAGTGATCTGAATCCAATTATATTTCTAGAAAGACAGAAGAGTGCTCTTTCCTTTAAATAATCTTGGATCTGCACTTGAGCCTGCATATCTGAAGTGAGCTGAACCACACTGGAACAAGTCCCTGTCCTCTGGCAGGCCGAGTCAGAACGATGACTTGGCGTTCATGATTCAGAGCATGAGTGTTGTGGATATTTACAAAATCACATTTCCAAGGAACACCAAGCTTCTTCCTCACAACGACTTGGAATTACACTGATGCTGGAAGATGTGGGGGCCCAATTAGCTGAGATCTCCTTGTATCAGCTCGAGTGAGCCAAAACGAGCTCTGCTGCGGAGCGTAATCACGTTGTCGCTAGACATCCAGTCAGCCCATCCTGAGCACAACATCTGTAGCTTGTCTCCCTCTGACAGGACCGCCGCTAAAGTGTGAATTACTGGGGAAGGAGTAAAAGATCCTCTAAATTAGATCACCCAAGCATTTGTGCCTTCAGGTAAACAGATCCACTTGTGGAACCGATACTCATTAAGCCCCTGTGTTAAGATCTCACAAGGGGTAATTGCATGTGGTGTTCAGGTCTAAGTGGGCAGTTAAATGAGTGTGCATCCCTCCCACTCTTGTGCCTGAGTGCTTTTCTCTGTCTGGCTCTTGTTGTGGCAGTTCAGAGAAAAATGAACACTGTGCAAGTTCTTCATATGACACAATGAATCTGAGCAACTCATTAAGAGCTTCTATTTTCCCTGACCCCTTTCCAGCCAGAACTTACGCTGAGAAATGATGGAGGTACAGCCGTTTTGATCATATGTTACGAAAATAACACAAAATGTAGCACAATCCCTTAGATCCTAGTGCTGGGGATTACTCTCAGCTATACGTACATTTTTGTCTTAGTAGCAGTTAAGTTAAGTAAGGCACAGCTAATCGTGTGTTTGCTGTGGCAGCCATCTTGAATTGAGTTGACTCGAAAAGTGAATGAGTGGCCCAATCCCAATTCTCACACTTCCACCCTTGTGCCCTTCGTTATAATTTCCTCCAGGGGTACGAGTGTGTAGGGTGTCCCGATCCTCAAGTGGGGAGGCTGACAACGCCCCTTTTGCACCCATGATCCACACTTCTCCCAAGTCTGCATCGATGCGCACTTGGGCAAAGGGTATTACCCACAACCCATTGCTGAGTGGGAATTGTGAGAAGAAGGCGGAGCAATGGCTCAAATACCTTTCCTGAAAATATGTATTTTCAGATGAAAGTAGTTCATTTTAGGATGATTAATGATATTTATTCATGCTCTGAATGTTTTACACAAAGATTTAAGGTGGACAGCAATTGTTTGAAAGTTTGTTTTTATTTTTAAAAGTAGCACAGCGACTAGCATCCCGGCATGCATTGCAGTCGATGATGCAATGCTCCCTGTCCCAATTCAGCAGTTGGTTTGCACACTTGCGTTCTACGCAATCAAAGATGTACTGCGCACTTTCTACAAGTGCACTTTCCTGAGGACCGTAGGGCGCAGCGCAAGTATTGGGACTGGGCCAGTTGTGGATGCTCATTCAGACTTTCTGAAAGTTTCCCTGAAGTCCACCAATTGGTTCACACAGACACGCATGTGAGCAGTAGTGTCATAGCTGCCTTTTAACAGCAGGAAATCATGGAAAGAAAACTTAGATGTGGTAAAGAGAGTCTACACTTGATTTACCTGGATGGAGACATCGCTGTAAGAACCGCCTATGACCCCAGAGATAGCCAGAGGGACCTCATCGTGAATGGCGTAGGACCCATCAGGACAGGTGTACTCGCTGTCGTCCACTTTAGTGAGGGACGCTCTGACGAACTCCAGAGACTGCTCCAGAGCGTAAGTGTCCTTGGAGCAGGTGTCCAGTATGTGGGCTCCCAGTGTGATCCCAGGAAGGATTCGCTCATCTTTGTTGATTTCATCTAAAGCCAACAACATGGCTTCCAGTCTCTGGATGCCCCTCTGAGAGTTGATCTTCCCACAGTCTTCTATCCCCTCACCCTTTTGGTGCACGGGGAACAGGCCGCCAATCATCAAGTCTCCCTCCAGGGTGATCTCTCTCTTTGAGTCTGTGTTGTAGGGCACCGCAGGCAAACCCAGGGGAGCCTGGGCGAACAGAGACACGCTCAAGCATAGCAGGCCGAGGTGGGATAGCCAGAGGGGTCGGGGCGCAGGGCGTACCCCCAAAGCGGGGGACTTCCCCAGTGACATATCCCTGAGCCAAAAACTAACTGTCCCGCCTGTAGATCGTGCTCGGTTCGGATGACGACAGCAGCACACAAACAAAGGAGCGGCTCCAGCAAACCTCAGAGCTCCAGTGTTTTTATTCTGACTGAGGCCATGTACAGCATCGTCTCCGTGCTCTTCATCCCTCTCCTCTTCTGAGCGTTTGTAGATTACAGCCTGCAGATCAAACAGAGAGAAATTCAGTCGCAGCTTTGGAGTTGAAGCACAATGATCCCTTTGTCTCGCAGGCATTGTGTCTGCCAGAGACAAGCTCATTCTGGGGAAACATTTGACATCATCTGCACAAGGAAATAAATGTTTGTTTAGTTGTTTGTCTTTGAATGAAAGACAAACAAAGGCTGCTCGTTTGGTAGCTACCACTTCATCTCAAGGACACACAACACTAAAGCTGTGTGCGGTTGTAATGTTGGAGACGGTTGCGAGTGATCTTGATCTTATTCAGCTTTTGACTGGAGCTTGACAGAGATCACCAAAGAAATCACCCAATGGTTTTGGAAATCTTCGTTGTCATTTAGCATGTGCACTGAACTCTTTCCTCTCTGCTTTCTTACCTGCGTGGCCTCATTTACGTTTCCTCTAAGGTGGATGATTGCACAGCTCTTTTATAATCACGCGTGACAATGCTCCGCTACACCAAAAGTCTGCTGAGATAACAAATCGCATCCCCGAGGAACACTTTGTCAAACCACATTACCTGTTCACTGACCTACAAAAACACACTCCATACAAAACGGAGGAAAGATACAGATAAAAAGAACAGAAATATGCACCATTTCTCCTCCCAGCCGACTGAGCTGGTGTGATTTGTCTGGAGCAGTAGAACACACACTCATAGATTAGATTGTGTGTTTTTATTTTCTCTGTTGGGTGAAAAAGTCGAGAATGAAGTTTTATGTAAAAAATAAAAAAAACACTAGATCTGACTTAGCATTTACAACAGATTCACTTATTTAAAACAATTAATCTGTGTTCATGTATTTCTTGGGTTATAAACATTTTTATACATAATAAAGATTTATTATTATTATTATTATTATTATTATTATTATAAGAAGAACAATCTGAAAATGAAACGAGAAGCCTCCTTTTTACAGGTCATTTTCATTTAATTACTTGTGTACGTTTCCTCCCTGAATCCTGCCCTCCAATCCCTCTGGATGGTGTCGATACTAGACCTTCATTTTTTTTAATTTTTTAATTTTTTATTGAAGTTATTCACAAATACACATAGTTGAGCTTTGGTAACAGTTACAATGTGAATCTTATATCTAGAATAATGCCTAAAAGGGAAAAGAGGGTGGAAAAAAAGAAGATAGAAAGATCATTATAAAAAATGTTTAAGAAGAAGAAGAATTACAAAAAATAAAAAAATAATAATAATAATGCTAGATCATTATAGGGGTATTAATATTCCAATTAAAACATTTACAAATGTACATAGTTTAATAGTTTTAAGAGCCTTCTGCCTTTTAGAACTATTAATAGAAAATATGCATTGTTTGAAAGTATTAAAGAATGCTGCAAAGCGTGGTTTTTTACCAGAATATTTGTAACAGTGGATGTAAAACTTCCCCATCAAAATTAAGAGGTCAATCATGTATAGAGAGTTTTTGCTCAAACCAGTTTCAAAAAGACCAAACAGCACATTCTCCCAAAATATAACTAAATTTGTAACAATATGGACATGAATAAAATCCCAAAGTTTCTGCCGAAAGGTTTTAGCTGTCAGGCAGTGCCAAAAGAAATGAATAACAGTTTCAGGACATGCCTTGCAGAAGCTACAGTTCAAGTCAATATCTTTCTTGAATCTAGATTTAATAAAAGATTTAGCTGGATAGAATCTATGATGAAGTTTAAAGGATATTTATTTTATTTTGTTATTAATCATCTACCTGTTAGGTAGTAGCCAGACCTTTTCCCATGGAATATCATTCACTGTAGGTACTAGACCTGCTCAGGGCCCTGGGCTCGCTGATGACGTTACGCTACATGACTGGCTGGACGTTGGCATGATGATGTTTCTGGTTGGTCCGGACAATTCGTTAGCACGTTACGTTAGCATGTAATGAGATCAACCGTCCAGATCTGTTGTTGTTCTTCGCAGGAAACTACTTTGACACCATTACCTTTGAAACTGATGTTTGGTCCAGTAAATAATCACAGACTGCAACCCATAAATAAATAAAATTGTCTTAACAAATTAAATTAATTCTTAGGAAAGGAAGGGTTGGAGAAATCTATTGGCTCAGTCAGTCAAAGAGTCTTTGTAGCACCAACACGCTCAAGTTTGACAGAGGAGTTTGTCTCCAGAGTCAGGGAGGTGTTGCTTTACAAAGACTGCAGGCATCATGATGAAGACTGGATGGAGTTAGTGGGTGCAGAAGGCAGTAAAGCAAGCAGAGGCCAGGGTGAGCCACAGTGGTGAAGTGGGCCTTATGGAGCTTGGCTGGTTTCTCTCAGGACACCACGCTTTGACAGACTCCAGAGAAAAGAAAAGCAGTACCTTAATTAGGAAGAAATCCGTTTGGATGTGGAGGAATATTGCTATAACTGGACAGTGGGCATGTGTCAGCAAGGGCCGGGAAGAACTGAGATCAATCACCAGCCGCTAAAATCACGTGGACAGAGATCTGGAGGTGGGAACCAGTAAGACTCCTGTTTCTTCTCATGTCAGTGTAGGGTTAGCATACGTATTTATTTTTGGTTGCTTTTTAAGCTCAAAACTCTAATTTCTCTCTGGGATTAATAAAGTATTTTTGAATTGTAATTTGAATTTGAATATACTACACTACATTTGACCAATATGATGTGAATATCTATATAAATATGGAAATCCAGTCTGACTGGTCTTGAATGTTTAACCAGAAGATTTAGAATTATTTGTTTATTCAGGGATTGTCAGATATTTCATATTAATTCAGACAGAGTCAAGTTTATAAAAAGTAAGAAATGTATTTCTAAACAATTAAAAACATGACGACTAGGAAACTTTATATGATGAATGGATCTAAGTGGATGGATTGTGAGCTGTGGATGTGATGTTATCAGAACCTTCGTATCCGGAGAAACTGGGAGTGACTTTGGTCTGCTATAAACTATAAGTGATGGTTTGTAAAACCACATCAGATGCAATCTGTCGAGTCTACGTACCAGCTCGGAGACCCTCGTGGTAGATCCAGAATGTGTGGAAGTCCGTGGACCCCAAAGGTGCCGGAGTCCGTAGAAGAAACCGCAGTGCCACTATACCGGTCTCGAGATGTCTCCAGGTCACGACAGGTAGTTATTTGCATCTATGGAGGACTCTTAAGCCGGGTGTACACTGTGTGACTTTTTCACTTTTTTGAGCCGATTTTCCACTCGTGCGAGAATCCACGAGATTGGGGCGAGTTTTGCGCCGAGCGTCGTGTAGTGTACAGGGGGTTACGAGAGGCGATTAACACCACGTGACCAGCTACCGATCAGCAATCGTGAGCTCGCACGGACTTCTGGCGTGTTTAATATTTTGCTCGTCCCTCGTGAGGGTATCGCACTGTTGAAGCGGCGCTGCGAGCAGCTGCGACCCAAAATGTATCAGAACCGCTCACCATTCACCTAAACTTCTTTGAATTAGAGGGTTGCAGAAGAGGAAAGCCACCAAAGAAATTGGCTAAGTGGCAGAGAAATGATCTTGGCTGTGGATCTAAAGAGGTGATCCGTGGTGTAGGGTGCTGCTTGGACACGAGTTGGAGGCTGATCACCCCAGACTGCGTCGCCCAGGTGAGGGTGTCCGAAGATCAAAGACCCAAAATATCCGATGAACCTGAGTTCTTCACTGACGACGTGTTTGATGACCATCATGGTGTACTGTTAAAACTGGGATGTTTTATTCTTGTTTATTGTCCATTGCTAATTGGCATTTGACAGACATTTATAAACTGAGCTGGACTTTGTGAATATGTTAGAATGAACGGATTTAAATTTAAAACGAGGATTAAACTTGCCTGACTGAATTGTACTTTTTTATTATGAGTACGATCTGTCATTGACTTGACTTAAACTGCTTTGCCATCTCCCAAACAAAAACATTTTTGAGCAAAGTAAGCAAATCTAATCCAAAAACAATTATACAATATTTATCATTAATTAACAATAAATCCAGTAGACCAGACCCAGTAAATGCAATCAGATTAGTTGGACAGTTGTTATAAAAAGTCAAATGGCACAAAGAGAAAACATACAGCTTTAATCATGGAACCTAATTACTAATTAGTACCAATTAATACATTATTCCGTGCTTTAAAATGTTTTAAAAACCTATTTATAAAGATTGACGTGTTTTAACAGTAGAAGTAGGCTGGGATGAATTTAGTGATAAAACGTTGATGGTCCGACCTTTTTAACCTCTTTCTAAATGAGTGCTTCAGGCTCTATTTGATTAAAACCCCTGTTTCTGCTCCTGATGTTGAGCTTTTCATAGTGCAGCTTTTGTTCACAGACTAATAAACATCTGTAAGACTACTATTGATCTTGTCGTCTCACAGACAACATAACTCAGCTTGCTTTACATGAGCTTCTCTGGACATATTAAGGCTATAACTAAATCAGCGTTTTATCACCTTCATCAAACATCAAGAGTCAGAGGTCTCATAACCAGACCAGACATAGAGAAAATCATTCATGCTTTTATTTCTAGTCAGCTGGACCACTGCAACGGTCTCCTAACTGCTCTTTCAAAAAAAAAAAACCCTGTGAAGCAACGACAGCTTGTTCAGAACGCTGCTGCCAGAGTCTTAACAAGAACGAAGAGAACGGAGCACATCACTCGTGTTCTTAGATCCCTACACTGGTTACCAGTAAACTACAGAATAGATTTCAAAGTGCTCCTACTAGTTTATAAATCACTCAATGCCATGGGATCAAAATACAATCAGCTGGTAGAACCACAGGTCAGAACAAAACATGGTGGAGATGCATTTAGTTACTATGCTGCTCACATGTGGAATCAGCTTCCCCATGACCCCAGATCTGCCCCAACCCTAGAGTTGTTTAAAGCGAAACTAAAAACACTAATGTACTCATCAGCTATTTAAAAGTATTGCTTCTTATGCTGCGTCATCTCCACTGTAATCTGCGCTGTAACTTTGTCTTCTCCTTTAGCTCTAAGCTATAATTCTATC